TAAATGCTTTCCAAATTTTATGAATAAAACAAACTTAACGTCACCTCAAAAGTGTTACGAGGAAAGTAATAATAGTTATAAAATAACGTATTGTTTTCAGGCCCAAAAAATCTCAACCAGCTTTGGTGCAATCAGTGGGCTTAAACGACAAGGTCATATTGTCAATATCATACCCAACCAAAAAATTTGCCATCATATTGTTCCCGATGAGTGCGTCCTTGTCGTCAACACCCATCGCGGTGAAGCAAAAGGACCCATCCGGCATCTTATTGAAAGTCTGAACCGTACTCAATCGCAGATCCACGCCGCCGTCGAAGTGCAAAGTCATCACCAAATCCCCCAAATTATCTTTGTAGCAAAGAGTATTATCGTCAATGGGCTTCGACGGGATATGCCGCCGAACTTCAGCAGCCAATCGTCCGTACAATTCTTTGGGGAGGAGAGTCGGCGGCGTGCCGGTATCGAGAACCGCATTCCCCTTGGCCGGAGGTCCCGACGTACTATACGGAACGAGGGTTTTTCTGACGGAGATTCCCGTGAGGGTGAGAGAGTAAGATGTCTGGTCGGATGTTCGAACGAGTTGGGCTGTGATGACTCCGGGTCCTTTAACTTCAGAACCCGACCCGATAGAGAGGCTACTTGAGATTCTTGGGTCGGTGTTGTATGGCATCAGACAAAGGGAGAACTTTCTACCGCCGACCGATGGACCTATCTGTGAATATGAAGTTACATTAACTATAAGGTTTTGAACTTTGTAGTTATTTAAATAAGATGCTAATAATGTTTTTAAAAATATTAATAATAATTGAAATTGATAATATATATATACCTGAGAAACGAAGGAAATCGCTCCTCTTCTAAATCCGATCAATCCCATTTCATTGGCATTAAACGTTCCACTATTATTATGTCCACAACCAAACACCACCCCAGGAAACGCGTCGTCGCTCCAGACCTCGAAGTTACAGTCACTTTTTCACTCGCCAATTCTCCCTGCGTAGATCCGCTTCCATACCCATAGTTGTACTTACACGTGTCGGTGCCGGAGCACGCTGCACCAGACCCCCTCAAATGGCACTGCGGCGACTTGCAAGAAAGGGTTCGAAAGGTTGACGATTTTGAAGGGTCGTAAATCGGATTCGTTTGCTGGTAACATTTCGCACATGGACGACACTGAGCCCAAAATAAATCGCTGCCAGTGTCGAGGATTGCATGCACCTCTGTCGGCGGCGTTCCGACGGCGATTTTCACTATAAATTCGCTGGTTTCCGGCCAAATTTGTGATTTGGCTGCCATCGACGAAACGTTGCCGGGTGAGAGACGGCGGCGGATGAGTTCCAGCTTGAGACCACCGCCTTTGCCGGCGGTGGACTCGGCGATGGAAAGTAGTGTGAGAAGGAGAAATATAGTAGGCGCCATGGGATTGCATGGATTTTAAATTTCTTTGTTTTATTTATACGCGTGAGAGAGATAATGACGTGGAAATTGAAATTATTAAGTAGAACTAGGAAAGGATGGCCATGTTTTTGGTAAAGCTCACTGTTTTTTTAATATAAAAATAGAATGTTATTTAAGTATTTATTTAGTTATTTCATTTTTCCAACCCTTTATTAAATTTAGTTTTAATCTAAATAAGGTAAACAAAAATATTTAAATATGAGTATATTTCTTATTCTATTTTAATAATCTATCTTTGAATTAAATAAAACTATGTAAACTTTTAAAATTAAGTAATTTTTTTTTTAAAATTTTTTAAAAAAACAGTATTTCGATTATTAAAAATAAAATCTTTTATTTAATTTAAATAATTAAATAATAATGTATTTCTGGATGATTAATTAACCATTTATAATCATGTACATTTATTTATTTTGATTAACTAGAAATTAAAATTAGATCTAAATAATGTAATATCTGAATATTTATAATTCTATTTTAATAATTATCTTGGAATAAATGAATTAAATAAAACCATATAAACTTTTAAATTTATCTTATATATGGTAATTTATTAATTAATTAAGGATTATTATTATTAATTATAACTTTAATTCTAGAAAGGAAAATACTTTAATAAAGTGTCCAAAAAAAAAAACCTAAAATAAAATAACATAATGAGTACGTTAATAGTCAAAGTTAGCAAGGTTGAGAAAAGTTTTAAAATTGTGATAAATAATAATGAATGCTATAATTTTAATTTTTAAACAAAAACTCATATCAAACCACGTTTTAGAACACAAGGGTAACTTTAAAATTGTTAAAATCATTTCAAGTTCAAAATTATTTTAAAACATATTTTAATCATTCAAATAACCAATTATTATTTAACTTTACATTTCATAAAAATCGATTTTGAATATTTATAAGAATATCAATTTTGAATATTTATAATTATGTTATTGTCATGACCCAATTTTCGAGGCTTCAAAAAACCGAATCGTGACTAAAAAGACAAAATCGTAAACAAATAAAATTAAAAAGAAAATAAAATAAAAATAAAAATCAGATAAAAATTAAAACAAGAAAAGGAACGGTATGAATATTTCATCAGTTTTATCGATGATTCTTCAAGGTATGGCTATATTTACCTAATGCATCACAAGTTCGAAGCTCTTGAAAAGTTCAGAGAGTATAAGACTGAGGTTCAGAATCGATGAGGAAAAGCTAGGTCATCGAATGAAAAGAAGTTCATGGTTAGCTCAAGATTAAGATCGAGTTACCTAGGTCATCGAATGAAAAGAAAATCAGTCTCAACAGTAAATGATATTATAAAGTGAGAGTAATTTTCTTCATGGTCCGATCTTATGCAATACTCATTACATAGGACGCCCCCACTCACATGTCTCCGCATGTACAATTTAGTGATCACATTGTTTATGTCATATACAAAAGTGGGCCACATCCATAATGTCCCTAGGATAAGGTACTCAGCCATATCCCTGTACTATAGATCATTTTGACTATATACTTGAAATTGATCCACTCTCATGTCTCTACATATAGTTCAAGTAATCATACTATAGTCAGAGTGTTCTTAGTTTATTCGATTTAGATTAATAATCGTAAAATTCACTTTATTCAATAGCAATCTTTACTGAATAAACATCAATAATAACTTTATTGAAAATAGAATATGTTTTGTTCACAAACTATGAGATTTATGACATAAAACCCAACAAGGGGCACATCAAAGAAGGACAAGGTATTCTTCTTTATAAACGGGTTACAACCGTGGGCCAAAAAAAAAAATACACGAGAAAAATATCCAAGACCTAGCTATCGCAATTGCCAGCGCCAAGAGACTCTTAGACTTTGGGAACGAAGCGGGTTACCAAAGAAGAACAACATAGGCCCCAAACACTGGGGCAAAATATATAAACCGCAAGGTCATCGAAATTGAAGCCCCAATAGGCCAAACGGAAGTAACGACAGACCAAGCGGGTGGACAGACAGATCTCCTTAGAACAATCAAGCGGGGACAATATCCCAAGACAAGAAAATTGTTTGAGATTCGAATCACTCTACAAGCAAGATCGATCATGTCTAGCTTGAATGATTCTTGTTGATCAAATATCTCAAGACAAGAACACTTGATTGAGATTCGAATCACTCCACAAACAAGATTGATCACGTCGAGCTTGAATGATTCTACATGCAACCTAAACTACATAGAATTGCAAAGAAACTTAGTCATTGGCTAAAGAAGAGCACAAATGCTTCTTTTACTACATTTTCCAAGTCTCTTACAAATACAACATATATGGCTTTATATAGCCTCAAAATGAAACTACTAGGCATTCCAAGAGTTGTAACATTCATACTTAATGGTCATAATTAACCATTATGTAATTGTAACCTAAAGTAAATAAAAAGTCCGAAAAACTCTAAATTGTAACCCACCCAAAATTTATAACAATCAAACTTCACTCTTCTTCAATGTGGCATGCATTGAAACATCTTTTGATAATTTTGACAACCTTTTCTTCACATCGTCATTGAAGTATATTGTATGATTGATGTTTTTTGGTTCATATCATTCTCCACTTCTTCAAGAGGATTCGTCCTCGAATCTATTTGTGAAACTTTGCTGCAAAAAATAAGTTATGGAAATACAAAGGACCTCACAACACTCTCTCACGTGTATACACTCAAGGAATTTTAGGCCACTCTGTTTGCACTCATTTACACAAATGAATCTCTCATCCTCACCTCTCAAATTTTCTAGTAGAGCCCAGATTTGATTTTTTTTATTTTGGGTCGATTAAAAACTAAAAAGATAAAAACAAATTGAAAAGAAATGCAAAGGAAACATATATCCGATCTTGAGCCTTAAGCTCTGATACCAAATGATAAGATAAGGAACCACTTCAAGGGGAGTAAGATTCGGATTACCTTGTTGATCGAATATCTCAAGGCAAGAACATTGTTTGAGATTCGAATCACTCCACAAGCAAGATCGATCATGTCTAGCTTGAATGATTCTTGTTGATCAAATATCTCAAGGCAAGAACACTTGCTTGAGATTCGAATCACTCCACAAGCAAGATTGATCATGTCGAGCTTGAATGATTCTACATGCAACCTAAACTACATAGAATTGCAAAGAAACTTAGCCATTGGCTAAAGAAGAGCACAAATGCTTCTTTTACTATATTTTTCAAGTCTCTTACACATACAACATACATGGCTTTATATAGCCTCAAAATGAAACTACTAGGCATTCCAAGAGTTGTAACATTCATACTTAATGGTCATAATTAACCATTATGTAATTGTAACCTATAGTAAATAAAGTCTTAAAATACATAAATGAAATACAATAACTCTAAATTGTAACCCACCCAAAATTTATAACAATCAAACTTCACTCTTCTTCAATGTGGCATGCATTGAAACATCTTTTGATAATTTTGACAACCTTTTCTTCACATCGTCATTGAAGTATATTGTATGATTGATATTTTTTGGTTCATATCATTCTCCTCTTCTTCAAGAGGATTCGTCCTCGAATCTATTTGTGAAACTTTGCTGCAAAAAATAAGTTATGGAAATACGATGGACCTCACAACACTCTCTCACGAGTATTGATAAGATAAAGAACCACTACAACGGGAGTAAGATTTGAATTACCTTGTTGATCGAATATCTCAAGGCAAGAACATTGTTTGAGATTCGAATCACTCCACAAGCAAGATCGATCATGTCTAGCTTGAATGATTCTTGTTGATCAACTATCTCAAGGCAAGAACACTTGCTTGAGATTAGGGATAAAAGAGAGGTAGTTCCCTTAAGTACTGACTCTAGGTCTTGAACAAGGGGTCCCACCCTCTCATTGGCCTGAGAGGGATTCAGTTTATTGGTTAGACCACAAACCAATTGTTTATTAGATGATCAATGAGACATAAGAAACAAGAAGTAACTTCAGGGGTAAACAATAAATTGACCCAACTCTAGTTACGAACAACCTGTGAAGGATTGACTTACTAATCATGGTTATATCAAATGGCTAAAATATATCTATAGTGAGGGGAGTGCAACTACTAGGCTATAGTGGAATGTTCTAGTAGTTAATGAATGTTAGTTAACAAGGTTAATGAGTTTAACCGGTTAATCTTGAATCGTTGGAGCCCATGATCTATAGGTCCATTAGGTTCCTCTTCTAGCTCATATCAAACTAAACCATAGAACAGTGTTTTAGGTCCTTGGATTGATATATCAATAGATTTTGTTTTAGGTTTACCTAGGACTAGGAAAGGTTATGATAGCATCTTTGTTGTGGTTGATTGATTTAGTAAAATGGCTCATTTTATTCCTTGTCACAAAACTGATGATGCAAAACATATTGCAGACCTGTTCTTTAGGGAAGTTGTACGATTGCATGGCATTCCTAAAAGAATCGTTAGTGATCGTGATGTAAAATTTTTAAGCCACTTTTGGCGTGTTTTATGGGTTAAGTTAGGAACTAAGCTAATATATTCAACTACTTGTCATCCTCAAACGGATGGACAAACTGAAGTTGTTAACAGAGCCATGACTGCTATGCTTAGGGCTATTATTGATAAGAATCTTAAGACTTGGGAGGATTGTTTGCCCTTTATAGAATTTGCATATAATAGGGTTGTTCATACCACTACTAAATGCACACATTTTGAAATTGTTTATGGCTTTAATCCTTTAACCCCCCTTGACTTGTTACCCATTCCATCAAAGGAGTTTGTGAATTTTGATGCAAATGCCAAGGTTGAGTTTGTTCATAAACTGCACAAGCAAGTGAAAGAACAAATTGAGAAACAAAATTTCAAGGTTGCCACCCGAATTAATAAAGGATGTAAGTTTGTCATCTTCAAGCCAGGAGATTGGGTTTGGGTGCATTTCCTTAAAGAAAGATTTCCTACTTAAAGAAAATCTAAGCTTTTACCACGAGGAGATGGACCTTTTCAAGTTCTTGAGCGTATCAACGACAATGCTTATAAAATTGATTTACCAGGTAAGTACGGTGTTAGTACAACTTTTAATGTTGTTGATTTGAGTTCTTTTGATGTAGGTGATGGCTTTGATTCGAGGACGAATCTTTTTCAAGAGGGGGAGAATGATATGAACCACGACCAAGGAATTTCCATACTTGAAGGTCCAATTACAAGGACGAGAGCTAAGAAGCTACAACAAACCTTATACAGTTATATTCAAGCTATGGTGAGCTCATCAAAGGAAATTCTAGAAGACGCTGGAGACCTCCCAATGTAGTGCAAAGTTGAGATTCAAGAAAGAGATGAATTAAATGCACTTTAAGTTGCATTTAATGAACTCCGCTGAATTTATGAAACTAGTCCAAGGATGAGTCAATAAGCACATTTTATTAATTGCATTATTTAATTATAGTTTAAATATTTTTTTGTCATATTTAAGCTAGTTTTAAATATAGGAGTTAAGGTTATATTGTAACCCACATAGGTTACTATATTCCACCACTCTTGTTTCTTTTACTATTGGAAACTATGTTGATGATGTTTTATGTGATGTTGTATCCATGCATGTTGGAGATTTACTACTGGGGAGGCCTTGGCAATTTGATCGTCGGGTAATGTATGATGGGTATGCAAATCGATACTCTTTTACTCACAACAGTAGAAAAACTACTCTTATTCCATTGTCTCCAAAAGATGTATTTATTGATCATTGCAAACTTGAAAAGAAAAGGCAAGAGGGTGATGCAAAAGAAAAGATTGAAAAAGAATCAAGTGTAAAAAAAAGCTTGAGGGAAAAGCAAGAGAGTAACACTCAGCCTAGAGAAAAAAAAGAGAGAAAAGTCAAATCAGTAAACTTGTATGTTAGATCAAGTGAGACTAGGAATGTTTTGATCTCTAACCAGACTACTCTTGTACTTATGTACAAGGGATCTTGTTACTTTTCCATGCTTAACCCTTCTTTGCCTAGTGATTTTGTTGTGCTTTTGCAAGAGTTTGAAGATTTATTTTCCGAGGAGAAGCCTAGTAGTTTGCCACCACTTAGAGGGATTGAACACAAGATTGACTTCATTCCTGGCGCGCCCATTCCAAACCGACCAGCTTATAGGACTAATCCAAAGGAGGCTGAAGAGATACAAAGGCAAGTAAGTGAACTCCTTGCTAAAGGGTATGTACGTGAAAGTTTGAGTCCTTGTTCTGTTCCAGTTATTCTTGTACCTAAGAAAGATGGTTCTTGGCGTATGTGTGTTGATTGTAGGGCTATAAACAAGATAACTATAAAGTATAGGCATCCAATTCCCAGATTAGATGATATGCTTGATGAATTGCATGGATGTAGTCTTTTTACTAAGATTGATTTAAAATCGGGTTATCATCAAATTCGCATGCATATTGGGGATGAGTGGAAAACAGCTTTTAAAACCAAGTATGGTCTTTATGAATGGTTGGTTATGCCTTTTGGATTAACTAATGCACCTAGTACATTCATGAGACTAATGAACCATGTCTTACGAGAATACTTAGGTAAGTTTGTGGTTGTTTATTTTGATGACATCCTTGTTTACTCTAAATCTTTAGATGATCATATTACCCATGTACGCAATGTTTTGACTAGTTTAAGAAACGAATGTTTGTACCTAAATTTAAAGAAATGTAGCTTTTGCATGGAAAAAGTTAACTTTCTTGGGTTTGTAGTTTCATCTAATGGTGTTGAGGTTGACGAGGAGAAAGTGAAGGCTATAAAAGATTGGCCTACACCTAAAAATGTAAGTGAGGTAAGAAGTTTTCATGGTCTTGCAAGTTTCTACCGTAGATTTATTCAGAATTTTAGTACAATTGCTTCACCCTTCAATGAACTTGTTAAGAAAAATGTATCCTTTATATGGGAAAAAGATCAAGAACTTGCTTTTAATACTTTGAAAGAGGTTAATGGGGAGAGACTGTAAATGGCAATATGCCTACGCTGGTTTAAATCCAGCTCGGCCCACTAATTCGCGTATCCCACCATAAAATGATATGTTCCATTTGTCCTTCGCCAGAACTGCTGGATATGAAGGAAGGAATATTAACCCCTCCCTCTTTTTTGATTGATTGCCAGATAGATGGATTATCAATCAATTTGACAATAACGACTATGAATCCATGCTCCTCTTACTAAAGTAACTGTCTCCACGCATATCAATCTATTCCTCGCGTCTCTGTCTGGTAAAATATGCCAATTCGAATCAAAAATCTACATGAAAAGGTTTGAAGGAAATGAAATCAACAACATGTACACTTGATTTCCCCGGGATTGTAGTTCAATTGGTCAGAGCCCTGTCAAGGCGGAAGCTGGGGGGCCCCGTCAGTCAGTCCCGATGGATCCAAATCCAATAAAAACTAATAGGGCAATTTCCATTTCTTCAACGAGTATTGATTGATGGGAGAAAGCCATATGTGGCAACAAACTCTTGTTTCTTTTACTATTGGAAACTATGTTGATGATGTTTTATGTGATGTTGTATCCATGCATGTTGGAGATTTACTACTGGGGAGGCCTTGGCAATTTGATCGTCGGGTAATGTATGATGGGTATGCAAATCGATACTCTTTTACTCACAACAGTAGAAAAACTACTCTTATTCCATTGTCTCCAAAAGATGTATTTATATTGATCATTGCAAACTTGAAAAGAAAAGGCAAGAGGGTGATGCAAAAGAAAAGATTGAAAAAGAATCAAGTGTAAAAAAAAGCTTGAGGGAAAAGCAAGAGAGTAACACTCAGCCTAGAGAAAAAAAAGAGAGAAAAGTCAAATCAGTAAGCTTGTATGTTAGATCAAGTGAGACTAGGAATGTTTTGATCTCTAACCAGACTACTCTTGTACTTATGTACAAGGGATCTTGTTACTTTTCCATGCTTAACCCTTTTTTGCCTAGTGATTTTGTTGTGCTTTTGCAAGAGTTTGAAGATTTATTTTCCGAGGAGAAGCCTAGTAGTTTGCCACCACTTAGAGGGATTGAACATAAGATTGACTTCATTCCTGGCGCGCCCATTCCAAACCGACCAGCTTATAGGACTAATCCAAAGGAGGCTGAAGAGATACAAAGGCAAGTAAGTGAACTCCTTGCTAAAGGGTATGTACATGAAAGTTTGAGTCCTTGTTCTGTTCCAGTTATTCTTGTACCTAAGAAAGATGGTTTTTGGCGTATGTGTGTTGATTGTAGGGCTATAAACAAGATAACTATAAAGTATAGGCATCCAATTCCCAGATTAGATGATATGCTTGATGAATTGCATGGATGTAGTCTTTTTACTAAGATTGATTTAAAATCGGGTTATCATCAAATTCGCATGCATATTGGGGATGAGTGGAAAACAGCTTTTAAAACCAAGTATGGTCTTTATGAATGGTTGGTTATGCCTTTTGGATTAACTAATGCACCTAGTACATTCATGAGACTAATGAACCATGTCTTACGAGAATACTTAGGTAAGTTTGTGGTTGTTTATTTTGATGACATCCTTGTTTACTCTAAATCTTTAGATGATCATATTACCCATGTACGCA